GTCTGAGTCATCGGAGGAGGAGACCGGAGGCGGTTCTAGCTCGGGCTCTGACGACGATGCTGATGATGCTCCTGGACCCTCGTCCAGGAAGAGGACTAGGACAGACTGATGGCCCCTGGAGTCGCTTGTCATTGGTTTTTGTTGTTCGGGCGCCTTGGCAAAAGTTAGAGCCTAAAAAGGAGAGGTTAATACCCGAGTGTACCTTAACCCCGAACTACGTAAGGCTTGATTCCCATGTTTGGGATACGTAGGCAACTTCATTCTGAAGTCCAGCCATAAAACACTCCAAATTCAACTGTGTCCATGTGATGGTTCTAGTCATCTTTGTCTTTTCTGTATCCGGGAGTTCGGTTGCAATCATCGCTCTGAGGACTAATTACAATACACTACGGTGCCATTCAGACAAGGGGCAACTTTCCGTTGCCATTCAATGCACCGCGGTGTCATTCAAACAAGGGGCAACTTTCCGTTGCCATGTAGCTCTCTTCGAGCAAGGGGGCAATTTTCCTCCAAATCCGAGGTTGTGCGTCTCAAGAGTAGGTTCCGTGCTTGTTAAGCATTGGCCGTTTGCAAAAATAGTTTTTGAGAATTTTTACTGAAGTTGACTAATTTTCTTGAAAATTGTTCCATCTTTTCCAAAAACTGGACCATTTCTTGGACCCAAAATAGGAAAATTTTCAGTGCTCATAGCCTGACTTACATGATTTCTAATCAAAAATCGAACAAGTGTGTTAATCTAACTCTCATGTTGGTTAAAATTGTTTTAGTAGAAAACCAAAACAAAAAATGGTCAAAATAATGAACTAGGGGCATAATTGAGTCAGGCTTCCTGTCTTTTCCCTGTTGTTAATACAGTTGCCAGAAAGGGCACTCTACTTGCCAGAAAGGGCACAACTGAAGTCAACAACAAAGGGCTGAAAGCTCTCTCATCCTCCAAGCAACGAGGTATCAAGACAAGTGCGAAGCACGAACTGGAATGGGGCGAGATTTTCCACTACCTCATCTGGACAGATCTGGTTATGTCCGAACTTCCCAGCAGAGCATCATCAACTGATGTCAGCTACAGATTTGCTACATACCCAGTTGTAGTGCAACCCCCCTGTGGGAGAAACTCACTGTTGTGAACAAGAAGAAGAATCTAGCAGAATGCTAGGGGCAAGAGCCCGTAACTCCTTGTTTATCTACCAACCACCTAGGGGAGGGATACAAAATGAGAGATTGAAGAATAGAGAGATGTGCGCTGAGAGAAAAGGTTAGAAAAGGGCTTTTTCAGAAAAACAGAGATTGAGTGCCAGAGTGACGTGAGAATCACAAATGAGAAAAGGGTGGGAAACAATACCCAGAGAAACTGGCTCCTCGTGCGCTGAGAGGTCTCTCGTCTTTGTAACACGTCTTTGTGTCGTGTCTCTTGTTTTGTTTGTCTCGATTCTGGATTTGAGTCGTTCCGAGCGTGTCTCGATGTGTTTAGGTTGTTTACCTTTTGTTTTTCGTTGTTGAGTCCTTTTCGCTGTGTTCAGTCGTAGGCTCAATACCTGGTCGAGAAATCATTTTCTCAATTTCAAAAAATGATTTGTTGTGTGCTCAGAGTGCTGTGCCATTCTCCACATTTGTGCAAAAAAGGGAATTTGTTCTTTCGAAAACTGTAGGGTTCAACCCAGGTCATGTGAGAATAGTAAAATCAGGATCTATCTGAAGCTATATAGGTTCCGGACTGCAAAGCAAAAAAAAAAAAGAGGGAAAATCGAAGCATCTGAGTGTGTTTCACCTTCAGCAAATTCCGTTATTGTACTCCGGATGTACCTCTTCAGGCCTTGTCACTACTCCGAAGTATGGGTGTGCCTCTACCTCAAGCTCAAGGTCAGGTCTACTTCAAGCCAGAATGGCAATCAAAGTGCTCCCTCAGAAAACCAGTCCTTACCAGGAAAGAAAGGTAGTAACTGCGTTTTGGAAGTATAAGCAAGAGTAACCCACTTTTAGCTCAAATTGTTTCTGCGGAATTTTCAATTCATGTCTTTGATGCGTAGCTCATCGTCAGTCGGCATGCACGAGGTGTATCCTTTTGAAATATATATTGTGACCCTTCTGAGAGGTAAATCAGAGGTTGTGTTTGAATTGGTCTTGTTAAGGCTTGTATTCCTTTATTCGGCATTTTGTTCCAAATATGCGTTGTTACACCCGTTCCACTTGCATTGTGATGCATGTTCCAATTGCATTGTTATGCACCCACTTCACTAGCATTGTTATGCTCATTCATTGCATTGATTATACACATCTATCTAGCATTGTTATGCTCATTACTTGCATTGTTATGCACACTTCACCTGCATCGTTATGCACCTTTTCACTTGCAATTGTCGTCTTTTCTCCTCTCGCATGCGGGATACGTCCC